GTTTGTAGGATATTTTGGAGGAACATTATGTTATAGCTCAGCTGCTTGTGAGATTCAAGCCCCACAAATCGGCCCCGATTTACGCAACACAAGTTATTGCTGCAAACTTTGACCATTTGGTATACTTCACCCACCCACCCCTTTCCATCCCGAGCTCCAGCCAATACAGTTGGTGTGGGGCCTGATGCAAAACCACATAAATACTGCGTCAAATGCTTGAGAGCTCGACGTAAAAGTGGATGAAGAGCTTGCAAAGGTGATAGATAATCGCTGAATCAAGTATTACCGCCATGTCCAAAATTTGAAAACAAATACGCCACTGTGATGGGTAGCTGCTGCCTTGTGAGTGATAGTGAAGAAGGCCAAGATAACGATGACGACGACGCAGAAGGGGACATCTACAGCAGCAGTAGCAATGAAGATGCAGACAGTCAAGCAGTAATCTAATCTCTTTAGTATACCCCCAATAAAAAAATATTGAATTTGCAAGTCTGTTTTGACCAGCAGTATCTGCTTCAGTGACCGCTGGCAAAAATGATCTCTGTTTGTCGATCCGACCAATCACAGGCAAATCTTTCATCACAAAAGCCTCAATTATAAATGGCCGTGGTAATGTCTTGCTCGCGAGCCTTGCTGCCTCAAACAACTGCGAATTACACATTTTTGACACCAGAAATGGGTGTAAAACCGGATTTTGCATCTTATAGTGTGTGCGGTGGGCGTGTATTGATGTAGAAGTTTGTAAACGGCCTAGCGAAGGGTTGTATCCTCTCTCTTGTAATAAATACTTTCGTCGACAGCCCACGGTTTTTTTTTCATGTGTCCGCCTACAATTTGCTGGTTTCGCTCGTATCGCAGGTCTCCCGATTATGGCATGGTCTTTGTAATTACCGTATTTCGCATGTAGAGAGCTTCAGCTGCTTATGAGCTACACCCTATTATTACCAATTCGCATAAATTATGTATTCAAAATAGTACCTTGGTGTCATAAATTATGATGTACAATTTTTAATGGCTAATAAAAATTGAAATAATATGTATGGCCATTTTTGAAAGTGCCATTTATTTTTCAGCGGCCCTGGTTCCATTTTACCCAACGCATAGCAATGTGAGGTCAATTAGAGACATGAACTGGCGATACGGGTTGCGCACGAGCTCTTCCACGGCCTCTTATTGGGGGGGGGGGCAAGATGCAGTGCGGCAGCGATAAACAAGACTTTCATAGTTGCCGCTGAAGCCGGCTACGCAGCAATTATGAATATCTGCGAGCCAAACGAGAATTTGACGATTATATGCTGGCAGAGGCATTCCAATGCGCAGCAGGATGTGGTCAAATTGAAGCTATCCAGCAACTTTACTCTGAAGGGTACCAGATTGCGTCTTCAACGCTTTAGAAAGCAAAGATTGTGGTGGGTGGTGATAGTCATCTCGAAGTGCTTAAAGTGCTGGATGGCAAGAGAACCATCTCTGATAAAGTGACGGCTAAGGTGTTATTGAGCGCAGCTAAAGATTAAGGGCTCCCATGTTCGAACATCGCCGATCAAGTCGGCGTAGTGCAGTTATTGTACGCAAAAGGGTGCAACTCTTCTGACGTGATTATTGAGGTATTCCTGGAGGCAGCGGGAAGCAGCTCGGTCAATGTCGTAGAGTTGTTGTATACCACAGCATCTATTTCGTCGAATGTGGTAGACGAATCCTTGAAAATGCCGCCAGTGGCAATTGTGCCGAGATCGTGGAATTTCCTTACAAGACTGGCGACGGTTCTACTGAGACGATCGAGGAAACGTTTGTGAGTGCTGCTCTTGATGAGAGCATGTACTTTGTCGAGTGTCTGTACAAGTGCGGGTGCGTTTCACGCGAGCTGTTTGAAAGCGCTTCGCGCTCGACGCCCAGGGATCCTTTAAAAAAATATATACTGAAAATGTGTTTTCGCTTAAGAAACACCTTACTTCTCCCACTCATTCGAAGTCGGTGGGATGTAGGCAACATCCACGAAGTGCGAGCGCTTGGCAACCTTGCGTCTCTTGAAGGCGGCCTTGACAGTCGACGAGTCGGCTGCGCCTCTTACGGGTGCTTGTTCCAAACTTGGCGCTCTAAATTCTGCACAAGCTGTCCTCTCAGCCAAATTTAGTGCCTCACTCCTCTGCGGCTTGACCACACCTTGTTCTAAATCGGGAAAGCTAGCGATGGCAGCTGTCACAGCTAGCCGAGGCTTCAGGGACGGGTATTGCTTGATGAACTGGTCGAAAAGCCGCCGCACAACCGATAGTACTTTTGTAACGTCTTGGTAATCGCCTCAAAAGCAGTTAGGTCATCAATCAACTCCTTGGCGCGCTCGTGCTCGGCCCGCCGCAGCAGCAAAGGCTGCACCTCATGCTCAACAAGTATTCCGTGACCCAGCTGAGCTATGGACGGGTGGAGCTTCACGTACCTCTCGACCATCTCGTACGTACTCGACCATTGGTCTCATTCCGCAGGAGCGGAGACAGATGGGAGACGCGGCGTAACATCGCTCTACCCTTGATAGTCCAGAGCTTGGGCATCAGCGCGTGAATCTTCGTGATCACCTCGTCCTCCTCCTTTAGAAAATCCTTCACGGCCAGATTAAATATGTGGCTAGCACAGCCGATCAAGGGAATAGCGCCTTCCTTGTTACCAATATACTGGTTCACCGAGCAGTTATCTCCCACCATGAGTTAACCGAGTCCCAGGCTTGTTGTAGAGAGAGAGAGAGTATCGCAACGAGGTGATCGACTCGTGCGCTCAGATCTCTTGAGATTTAAACAGGAGAGAGCGCCAAGAGTAAGAAACGCGTGGGGAACTGGCACTCCAATTGTTGGAAAATAATTCACTGGAAAGCCGGAATACTAGTATTTACCGATATTACCAAGTGTGTCTTACACGGCAAGGATTGGTTACATAGGGGGAGGGTTTTTTATATAGTCCACCAGCCCAGTACGAGTCTAAACGAGTCAGGAAGATCGTTCGCGACTCGGGCTTCGACAGCCTCACTCACTAGCCTTACGTACTTTGACAGAGTGTCCTCAGAGACTGTAGAGAGAGCGGAATTCAGTCTCGTGTGGCGGTGCTCAACGAACCCGAACGGGGGCCGCCCGGAGATAGCCCACTCCAGCCAGCGGTAGAAATCTCGAGATCGCTGGATGACGAGGTGTAGGTTTAGGTGATTCGACGGCGTGCTGCTTCCTGGTCCTTTTGCTCGTAGTCGGCATGGTTGCGACGCAGGTGATTTAGTAGGTTTGTGTAGCCATTTCCCCTTCTTGTAGGTCTTGCCACATGTCGTGCAGGTATGGATCTTGTCTCCGACTGTGGTGAAAAGCATGGAGCAGATTTGACTAGTCGCTGCAAGCCGAAAAAATGGTTGAGAGCTTAGAGGTGAGAGCTTGAATTTAAAAATAATTTAAGAATGACATACGTATATAGAGCTGCTAGGGAGCATACACAATGAATGGTGGGGGGCTAAGGGTTGGTTGTGGAGCCTATAGGCTGTGTATTCATAAATGAATTGGTGCAATTCAGCAATGAATTGAAGCTTAAAACTTATAATCTGAATTTAAAATTTGAATTTGAATTAATTTTTATGAGTATTAGTTTTTCGGGACCCCTGCTCAAAGTTTGAGTCAAACTACAAACTCTTGCTGCTTAGCCATGTCTGACGCTTCTCTGACACCTACCCAACGCTCGAGGAGCATGTTTTCCCCAAAGCCAATAATCAAGTAACACGATCACGTCTTGATGCAGATATTCATGCGCCACAGTCGCAGCACAAGTTCTTTATTTGCAGCTTTCTGATCTACCATGCAGGTATCTATTCTCATAAAGCGAAGAAATCCATTTAAATTAAATTTTGAGGAACCCTGTCAACGCCCCCCAAGAATCTGCTCCCGTAGCTCCTCAGCAGTCCGCGAGATAATGACGTGCTGAAGAAGACACATTCGTAGGGTTGGTGTGTGTCCGGCTCCAGTACTGTATTCCCAAACGCTGTATGTTATAATAGATCTGAGCGACGAGTTATAGACTTATTGTGCATGAATAACAGTCGCCATCACCATTGAAGTTTGACACTATTATCTCACCGTTAAGATGACAGCATCCTGCAATCAAGCAAAGACAGCGTACTAGTATTAATAATTCGAAGTACATCGACACGAACTAATGCATGTACCAGTATTGTACTGAGAGTGTTGCCCGACCCAGAACTTCTGAGTCACTTCTGGCAGAAGTTCCGAGCCAATTCGAGCAAGCGGATACAAAACTGTACCCGTGTTCAACACGGTGTTGTCTCTCAATTATCGATCACGACAGCACGGCAATTGTCCGTGTTGTCGTGATCAATAATTGAGAGACAGCAGGTGGGAGCTTTTGCTGTTTGTGAGTGTGGAAAGTGGGCGGATCAGCACAACACCTTACACGCTGTTCGAACGAGCCACAGCCGCGCAGACGGCCTTGTCATCGCTCCTCAAGCATGACCACGTACTTAACAACCAAAGGCGAAAGCAAACATGGTGAGCTGATCAATGATAGCTAGCTGTACCGCTTATGTACTGTACCGTAGCGGCCAAATCAATTTTCAAGCTCTTTCGCTGCTTGTGTCAAGCCTCGACTGTCGATTTCCCGTGATCGATGCCTTTACGCTCACCAACATTTTTTTTTGGCCGCCACAACAACACGTTACGGGCACAGAAGTGCCCTTCAAAACAATTAATCTTATATTATAATACCCTTATATATCTGCGATCTGTTCGTTTTATTTTTAAAGCCACTTGAGGCCATCATATTTGATCCCCTTGCAAATTGTTCTTTCTAAACAATTTTTAATTGCTGGGTCATCAGTGTAAGAAATCATCCGAAGCTTACAACGTAGCAGAAAGGAGACAAACCGCACTGGCGTGCGGGACTCGCTATTGCTCGCGTGGTCGTTGCAGAGGCCAGCCCCAGCCCAGGCCACATGGCTCGCCACTTGGCAAAAAGGAGCGAGAAGATTATCGCATTTCACCAGGCAAGATCTCGTTCTACTATCCAAGACACAGCAAGGGTATTTTAATCAGCGCGTGTGGATTGGTACCGTATCACTTGCCTGACTAATTGTTGCAGATATGAGGTCCACGACGGTTGTGTCGTGGCTGGCTGTCATGCTGACTCTAGTCACTCTATCGACAGTACAGGCAGCATCCAAGAACTCATCGGGCACAACGCACCCGACCAAGTCAGGGATCGAGGTCTGGGTGGATCCGGAGACCCCTAAAGACCGTCACACGTATATAAGTTCTCGCGGTCGGAAATGGGACCTGGTAATGAGTGACGAGTTCAATACCAAGAACCGCAGCTTCCGTCCTGGAGACGACCACATGTGGACGTCGCTTGAGAAGCCCGACGGTGTGAATGGCGCTCTAGAACTGTACTCGCACAATATGACAAGTACCGCTTGCGACGACGACGGCACGTGCTACTTTTACATTAAAACCATGGACGAAGTGAACGTCATTCGCGTCTACAACATGTACACGCGTCCTGCTGGGTACCAGAATGCCTACTTCTGGTACCGAGCGGCTATGGTGCAGTCCTGGAACAAGTTCTGCTTCCAAGGAGGGATGCTCGATGTACGAGCTCAACTCCCTGGTGCGGTGACAGAAAAGTCCGGTAACCCCGACCTGGCCCTTGGAAAATCCGGTAAAGTCAAGACAACCAAGTTCTACCCTACGTGGCCTGGTATTTGGATGATGGGGAACTTGGGGCGAGCGATTTTCTCGGCCTCAACGAACCGCATGTGGCCGTTCTCGTACAACAAATGCGAGCCGGACGTGTTTAACCCGAGAAACCAGCGTATCAGTGCGTGCGACGACAACCCGGGCTACGGTTTGAACCCGAACCAAGGTCGTGGGGCTCCTGAGATTGATCTGCTCGAAGGAGGTGGCTTGGCTATCTCTTCGTCACTGCAGATTGCTCCCGGTATGCCTCTGGACTACCGTCTTTTCCCCGCAGACCCGAAGGGAGCTGACGTCACCAACCCGTACTGTGTGTTCACGTACGACTGTCTGACTCCTGGCGCCAATATGATTGATGTGCCCACAGCGTACTACAAGAAGGAACGTGGCCACAAGTCGTGGTATCAAGGTCTTCGCTACGGGGCGAACAACCAGTGTCAACAAGTGTCTTCAGAGAAACAAGACTACGACACTGTGGCCGCTTCGGTGAAGGGCGGCATCAAGGAGAACACGTGTACCGTTGATACGTGTCCAGCGTCTGGAGATGTAAACGGAGAGTTGAGCTACATCGACAAAACCAAGTCTGCGCACTGGGGGATCAACTCGAACGGTACTTGTTACCCGCTGATGAACTCGTACATGGGGGCGTATCTGTGTGATCCTGACAATTCGGACAAGAACTGCGAGAAGCCACGTAACGAGAGCACACCCAAGACCAACACGATGAAGTCATTCAACTATCAGATGGACGCTATCTCGTCTAACTGGCCGATTCACCTAGAGCAGGATACTTGGGATACCTCAATTACCAGATCGAGTGGGTCACTGGCAAGAATGGCTACGTGCGTTGGATGTTGGACGGTGCGCCTCTGTTCGAAGTCACGACCGAAGCGTTCTCGAACGTCCCGCAGAACAGCAAGAAGGATAACCCGGAGAAGGTGATGCTGGAAGAGCCCATGTACATGATCTACAATGTGGCGTTGTCTAGATCGTGGGGTACGACGCCTCCGAACCCAGGCCAGGAGTGCCGAGGCGATGGGAACGATCCCGTGACCAACGCTATCTGCGACTCGTTCCCCATGTACATGAAGATCGACTACATTCGAGTGTACCAGGACAGAGGAGACGACCTCGAGGACGACAACTACATGTCGATCGGCTGTGATCCGGCCAGTCACCCCACCAAGAAGTGGATCGAGGGGCACATTGACGAGTTCGTGGACGACGACAACCCGTGGAAGGAAGTGTCGGGAAAAGCCTTTTGCAAGATCGACGACGACTGTACAATTGGCGGGAACGTCGGCGCGTCGGCGCTAAAGACTGGCAAATGCGTCAAGAACCGCTGCCAATGCACCTACTCGACGTCGTGGGGCGGTCCGCGTTGTACGACGGCGCTGGCTGGATCGACCAGTTCGAGTGCCAGTAGTCTGTCGAATCGTGCGTACGGCCCGCCCATGGGTTTGTCCATGGGTGTCGCTGCCGTCATCGTCTTCTTGTCGATCGTCTCGGTGTACATGAGTATAGCCTCGATGAAGAAGCAGGCGGCGCTCTTGACCAAGACGAGCGCTCAGGCCAAAATGGCGGCTAATAGTATCGACGACGGTAGTGTCAACCACGGCAACTCAACTGGCCAGAGACCCAAAGACAACTACAGCCAGAACTTTGTCTAAAGCAAAGTGATGGACGCTAGAGAAATGTAAATAAAAACTGCTGTGTATCTCCCATCCACACTTCAAACAACTGG